CAACTTTCAAACGTTTTACAAAGACAACTTTCAAACGTTTTACAAAGACAACTTTCAAACGTTTTACAAAGACAAATTTCAAACGTTTTTACAAAGACAACTTTCAAACGTTTTACAAAGACAACTTTCAAACGTTTTACAAAGACAATTTCAAACGTTTCACAAAGACAACTTTCAAACGTTTTACAAAGACAACTTTCAAACGTTTTACAAAGACAACTTTCAAACGTTTTACAAAGACAATTTCAAACGTTTTACAAAGACAACTTTCAAACGTTTTACAAAGACAACTTTCAAACGTTTTACAAAGACTACTTTCAAACGTTTTACAAAGACAATTTCAAACGTTTTACAAAGACAACTTTCAAACGTTTTACAAAGACAACTTTCAAACGTTTTACAAAGACAACTTTCAAACGTTTTACAAAGACAACTTTCAAACGTTTTACAAAGACAACTTTCAAACGTTTTACAAAGACAACTTTCAAACGTTTTACAAAGACAACTTTCAAACGTTTTACAAAGACAACTTTCAAACGTTTTACAAAGACAAATTTCAAACGTTTTACAAAGACAACTTTCAAACGTTTTACAAAGACAACTTTCAAACGTTTTACAAAGACAATTTCAAACGTTTCACAAAGACAACTTTCAAACGTTTTACAAAGACAACTTTCAAACGTTTTACAAAGACAACTTTCAAACGTTTTACAAAGACAATTTCAAACGTTTTACAAAGACAACTTTCAAACGTTTTACAAAGACAACTTTCAAACGTTTTACAAAGACTACTTTCAAACGTTTTACAAAGACAATTTCAAACGTTTTACAAAGACAACTTTCAAACGTTTTACAAAGACAATTTCAAACGTTTTACAAAGACAACTTTCAAACGTTTTACAAAGACAACTTTCAAACGTTTTACAAAGACTACTTTCAAACGTTTTACAAAGACAATTTCAAACGTTTTACAAAGACAACTTTCAAACGTTTTACAAAGACAACTTTCAAACGTTTTACAAAGACAAATTTCAAACGTTTTACAAAGACAAATTTCAAACGTTTTACAAAGACAAATTTCAAACGTTTTACAAAGACAAATTTCAAACGTTTTACAAAGACAAATTTCAAACGTTTTACAAAGACAAATTTCAAACGTTTTACAAAGACAAATTTCAAACGTTTTACAAAGACAACTTTCAAACGTTTTACAAAGACAACTTTCAAACGTTTTACAAAGACAACTTTCAAACGTTTTACAAAGACAAATTTCAAACGTTTTACAAAGACAACTTTCAAACGTTTTACAAAGACAACTTTTCAAACGTTTTTACAAAGACAACTTTCAAACGTTTTACAAAGACAACTTTCAAACGTTTTACAAAGACAACTTTCAAAACGTTTTTACAAAGACAATTTCAAACGTTTTACAAAGACAACTTTCAAACGTTTTACAAAGACAACTTTCAAACGTTTTACAAAGACAACTTTCAAACGTTTTACAAAGACAACTTTCAAACGTTTTACAAAGACAAACTTTCAAACGTTTTACAAAGACAACTTTCAAACGTTTTACAAAGACAACTTTCAAACGTTTTACAAAGACAATTTCAAACGTTTTACAAAGACAACTTTCAAACGTTTTACAAAGACAACTTTCAAACGTTTTACAAAGCAACTTTCAAACGTTTTACAAAGACAACTTTCAAACGTTTTACAAAGACAACTTTCAAACGTTTTACAAAGACAAACTTTCAAACGTTTTACAAAGACAACTTTCAAACGTTTTACAAAGACAACTTTCAAACGTTTTACAAAGACAACTTTCAAACGTTTTACAAAGACAACTTTCAAACGTTTTACAAAGACACAACTTTTCAAACGTTTTACAAAGACAATTTCAAACGTTTTACAAAGACAACTTTCAAACGTTTTACAAAGACAACTTTCAAACGTTTTACAAAGACAACTTTCAAACGTTTTACAAAGACAACTAGTTAAGGAAATCGGTCTAAATGTATCAGGCTGTTGGGGCTTAGGGATAGGTACAATGAGACTATTGGTGCAGGAAGTAGGAAGAACTCTCTCAATGTAACTGAGTTTATACAGTGTTCTGAGAACATCATAAGTTGTACCTTCCTCTCCAGGAGCTGTTGATCGACCTGTAGTTAATATATCATCTAATTCATACTCGGAGAAGAAGCAATCACTCTCATCAATATTTTCGCTGATAAAATTAATCAATTTCAACATTTCTTCAGACGTTTCTTTTGGTACAAAATTATTGATTTTTACATTAAAATAAATGAAAAATGTATATTTAAAAGTATAAGAGAAAATTTCAGAAAGAACTTAAGTTTAAATGTGCGTGGATGTAGTGCGGATGACAAGAAACAGATGATTGCTGATGTTATGAATGAAAAGAAGTTGGATGTCCTGGCTCTAAGCGAAACAAAGCTGAAGGGGGTAGGAGAGTTTCAGTGGGGGGAAATAAATGGGATTAAATCTGGAGTATATGAGAGAGTTAGAGCAAAGGAAGGGGTAGC